AAAAAAAAAAAAGATGTTAGGGCTAAGAGTTGCAAATTGCTAAGAACATCTTTAAAAGTAAGCTGTGTGCCAGTTATTCCTAAATCTGTATCTCCAGCCTGTACCTGACCTGGAGCTCTGGACTCACATATTCAGCTGCTTACTGGACCCTCGACTTGGTAATTTTAGGCATATCATTGGACTAAAACGGGAAAGCAATCAGCATTCTCTTCAGTGAGCGAATGATCAAGTGACTACTTCCAACTGCAGAATCTCTTGGCCTGCTCCCTAAGTCATGAAATCCATGCTGTGACTGACATTGTCTCAGTTTTCAGCTTCACACTGAGAAAGTACCCAGACCAGTCAACTATATTAAAATCTCAGGCATTGTATCTACTCACTTTAGCATTTATGTTTTGAAATTACGGTTCTACAGCATGTATTGCTTACTCTAAGTCACTTCAAATAGTTTCTGAAGGTAGGCAGGGAATAAGGAAATAAGTGAAATGAAATATTCGATGCCATAAGATGATTCCTGGGCTCTTATGCCTGGGGCAGACTGGGCTGCACGTTCCTTAGCATTGGCAAATCCCAGCTATCTTATCCTGGGCCATGACTCCAATCGCCACCAGTGATGTCATCAATAGGGTGACCAGATATCCCAGGTGGACCAAGATAGTCCCTACAAAATTCGAAGTGCATGGCCTTCCACTCTCAAAAATATCAGGTTAGATGAGAAATTATATGTGTACCTACATATATGATGACCAAGACTCTGTAGCAGCTAGTGTACATGCATTTATTCCACTAACATCTACCAAACACCAAGTGCCAGGTCCCATGTTGAGCTCCAGTGCAATGCATGACTCAGTACAAAAATAATAGGTTTTAAAGAGCCAAAAAAAATCTCTGAGTTATATACCACATCTAAGACATGAGAACAGCCAAAACATAGTACAGTTTCTCAGATGGTCAGACAATAAGCAGATAGCTAGACGCATTAGACAAGTGTTACAAACTGCATACAATCAACAAATATTTGTTGAATAAGTGACTAAAATGTTCCATCACCTTGCTACCATGTGAATTGGGAACAGGTGACAGGGAAATATGTTTATCTTTACAGGAAAGTAGCATAATCCATAACAGGAATAAATGCATCACTACAACTATTAAGGCCTTTCCTTTCTCTGACTTGAGGTGCTTTTTCTACTTTGACATTCAGAACAAAACATAATCCACATATTTTAGGCCGATCTTTTCCCATTAACATAAGAAGAATCAGGAAATCTGAAATTGGTTCAGCTATGATTTCCTCTGAATTAGAAATATTATACACATTGCAGTTAGGCAAATTGCCAGTAAATAATCAAGCAGATTTCAAAGAAACTTACATGCTTACTTTGCTTAAAAGCGATTAACAAAGCAAAGGCCTCTGATAAATTTAATGTCAGCAATTTTCAAAGCTTAGTTTGACAGCTAGAGGGAACTTTAAGAAATAAGGTGATACTGGGGACTCCAACACATTGTCTTGATAGGAATTCTGGCAACTTAGCTGAAGGTAGCTGTAGTAATTAAAAGTTCTACTAGATGCAATGTTTAAAACTGACAGTAAAACCCTAACAAAGATTATCTCTAAGGATCCCTCATTTTGGTCCCTCAAAATACACAATACTGAGGCCCAGAGAAGCCACCTAGTAATAGTGGGAAAAGTGTGACTTTGAAAATCAATCACACTTGACTAAATTCTTCCCAGACCTCTTCTTCAATGTGTGTTTCTAAGAACATTATTTAACTTTTCCCAGTTTCTTAAAAACAAAGGTAACACTTACCATTTAAGAATGTTATGAGGATTAAATGAATTTGTATTTATGAAAGATCTGGCACTCAATACATGTTCATTTCATTTCTTCCAAGGGATGACTAACTTGAGAGTAACATTGCTGGTAAGAGACAGAGACAGGACTAGAACCAATTAGGTCCCCTTCACTACTCAAAAGAATTCAATTTCTTAAATAGTCTCTATCCTTGAATTATACCATAAAATATAGCTTCTAACACCTGAGTTGGGGAGACAGTTATTGAAGTAAATGTGGAATACCACAGGGATGCAAAGAAATATATTAGGTTATTAAGTATGGAATGCCCGATTTCCTTAAGTATTAATACCAAGTTTGACAGTTGATATCTCTTCTGACATTTTGCTTTGACACTTCTTGGTTTGTGGGTGTGGGTGTGTGTGTGTGTGTGAAGGTACATCCTCATTCTTTCAAACGCACATTTTGGCTTGTGATTATCTTTCAAATTTTTTTTAGAGCAATTTTTGTGGAACCATGAATAAGTAAAAAATTTGTGTTATTTTTTAATATGAGTTCCATCATGGAACCAATGCAGCGCAGACAGCTTGAAATATTAACAGAGTGTTTGGGAAGGATGTGGCTAATGAACACGCAGTACATCAATGGTTTGAGAAATTCTGTTCTGGTGATTTTAATCTTGAAAATGAGCCACATGAGTGACCTGAGACCAAGGTGGATAATGATGACCTGAAAGCTGCAGTGGAAGCAAATCCATCTCAACCTATGTGAGAATTAGCAGCAAGGTTTGACTTTACTATTCCAACAATATTGGACCACTTGAAACATATGGGCAAGGTAAAGCAGCTGGATAGATTGGGTACTGCATGAATTAAACAAGAATCAGAAGAGAAATTGTGTCTAAGCTTGCCTTTCTCTGCTGTCACGACAAAAAGGCGAACTATTTCTACATTGTATCATTACATGTGATGAAAAATGGATTGTTTTTGACAATTGCAAGTGTTTGGTACAATGGTTGGATAAAGATGAAGTGCTGAAACATAGTCCAAAATGGAATATTCATCAGAAAAAGGTAATGGTGTCTGTTTGGTGGTCCAGCACTAGTATTATCCACTATAGCTTCATGAAACCTGGTCAGTCCATTACAGATGTCTGCTGCAACCAATTGAACAAAATGATGAGGATGCTTGGGATTAAGCAGCTGAGAATGGTCAATAGAGACAGACCAATCTTTTTGTAAGACCAGATGTCACAAAAAACAACGCTACAGAAGTTGGATTTGGAAACTCTCTGTCCCCCTCTGTATTCACCAGACCTTGCGCCAACTACCACTTCTTCCAGGCTTTGGACGACTTCTTGCGAGGAAAAATATTAAATTCTCAACAAGCTGTGGAAAATGACTTTCGTGATTTCATTGCCACTTGTTCCCAGGCTTCTTTGCTGCTGGCATAAGCAAGCTACTGTTAGGATGGCAAAACTGTGTTGTTGATAGTTTAGGCACATACTTTGATTAGCTGTACTGCTTCTTGTTTGAGATATAATAAACTAAACTTTTGATTTGAAATCAGACATTTTATATTTAATGACCTAATATTTGTTCCTTCAGGCATAGAAATACATTTGTGAGAAGCAAGACTGCAGAAGTCAAGAAGTTTAATCAAGGAAATATTATACTGGCTACGTTTCTAAAAATGACATCTACTTAGTTTGTACCTGAAGGCTGCCCTTCTGGAAACAACACAACAACTGAAGTTTGTTTTTTTTGTGTTTGTTTTAGGCCGGGGCATCAGCCTAACTCATAGCAACCTCAAACTCCTGGGCTCAAGCGATGCTCCTGCCTCAGCCTCCTGAGTAGCTGGGACTACAGGCACCTACCATCATGCCCCGCTAATTTTTTCTATTTTTAGTAGAGACAGGTCTCGCTCTTGCTCAGGCTGGTCTTGAACTCCTGACCTCAAGCAATCCTCCTGCCTTGGCCTCCCAGAATGCTAGGATTATAGGTGTGAGCCACCTCACTGGGCCCAAAGTTTGTTATTTTTAATGAATGTTTCACAACTAGTATTTCAAGATTGTTTGCAGCAAACATGTATCAAGTGTCTATCAAGTGCAGGGCCCCTGTAGGTGACACAAATGTGAATCCAACTTTGCCCCTGTCTGCAAAAATCATACTATCTGGTAAAGAAGAGAGGCAGACCTTGAAAAATGATTTTAAAAAACAAAAACAAAACAATTGCATATTAAACCTGATGGAACTTGAAAAGCTCAAGGCCAGCCTGAGGTGGGGAGTTACTTAATGCTACTCTACTTAGGGATAAAATGCCCACTGCATTGGGAGTGGGTAAACACAGCACAGCACAGTAAAAAGTGTTGGAATTTTGTGTTATTAACTGAGTTCCAGTCTTGTTTCCGATAGAGCTAGCTTCGTGAATTTGTCTAGTTACTTGACATGTTTAGGTCATGTTCCTCATCTGTAAAATAAGTGAGTTTAAAGGGATGACCTCTATTGAAGTCCTCTTCCAGCTCCAAACTACAATAATGAAAACAAGAAATACAGTAACTTATATTTACTGTGCATATATCATAGGCCAAGCACAGTGCTAAAGTGCAGCACTGTATTATCTTCATTTAATCTTCACAACTTTACGAAATGACCATTATTGTTATCCTTATTTCACAGGTAAGGCAGGAAAAGGAGACCAAACAGTAGAGTACTGGAGTCGCGATTTGAATTGAAGTAGTCTGAACCTAGTTCAGGGGTTACCCTTAACCACTACGCAAAATTGTCTCTCTTCACAAAAACCGTTAAGTTTTCTTACCCATTCTCAAGAAATATGGAAAAGAAAATCAGCTTAGAAAAGGGTCCTTCCTGACTGGCAGGCAGATCTGAGTTAATTTCACACTAGTCTGTTTCACGTGTTAGAAAGTCTCCCACACCACTTCCCCCGCGAAGGCGGGGCGCTCCTCCGGCTGTGCGCGGCCCCGCCGGGTGCAGCACTGTGACTGCCAGAAGCGGGCCGGGGCTGAGGCGCACGAAGAGCTCGGGGGAGAGGCCCCTTAGAAGCGCGGGCAGGGAGAAGGTACCTGGGCTGCTGGCTGCTTCAGCCGGCTGGTTCTCCCACCACTCGTCTCCAAGATCGTCTGCCATCTCCGCTCAGGACTCGACGTGGGCGGACCACCTGCGGAACACGGACGGCGACCAGGATTCACGCTGCCTGTGAAGCCCGCGGCCACCTTGGCAGCACGCTGAGCCTCTGGTAGTCGCTGTCGCCTCCGCCCCGCGGCGATGACGTCACGCCTCCGCCCCGCCTCTCCGACAGCGGCTTCCAGACTTGTCGCAGTTTCCACAGAAGCTCCGACGGGCGTGATCAGTCTGGAAACGCAAAATAAATCCCTTCAAAGCATAAAGACAAGAAGACGCATAAGACAAAAGATATTATCTTCTTTTTTAATAACTTATTTCAACAATTCTGGTTTAAATTTTTTTCCCCGCCGATAAGATTGTGCCGAAAGTGTGAGACAACAATGCGAAGACAACTTTTCTCTCTTCAGTTTCAAAGAACTTGCGCCGCGGGAGAAGACCCGAACACGTGGGTGTGTTTTGGCTTGTGTGTCAGTGTTCGGGCGTTTATATGTTTGTACAGTTTGCTCTTAGAAAACGTGCACAAGAGTTCATCGAGCCTTTGTTGTAGATGTGGGTTCTGCTCCTTTTATACAATATGAGTAAAGAAAATATGATCGATCTGGAAGGGCTCGCCCACGGGAAGACGCAAGTGGCCCTGACTTGAGAGTCGCTTTCCCCCATCCTCCTTGGGTTGTGACCCTACCCCACTCAGTTTGTGAAAGGAAGAAAGAAGGGAGTCCGTTGCTTCCTAACTATAAATAAGAGAGCTATGGTGCCTCTTGTCTCGTTCTCAAAGTGGCAGGGATGGACTAGGAAGCCCCCCCTGAGCCAGCTACAAAGTAATTGTGGACAATATTTTTCAGATTGGTCTTCGAACACAGAAGTAGAAACCATACAAAATATATTAAATGTGTGCAGTGTGCTTGGCTCTGTGCACAGAATAGTGGTTTAAAGATGAGTAGACCCTGGCGCAGTGGTGTGCACCTGTTGTCACAGGTGCTCAGAGGCTGAGGTGGGAGGATCACTTGAGCCCAGGAGTTAGTTGCTGCAGTGACCTGTGATGGTGCCACTGCATTCTAGCCTGGGCGACAGAGCAAGACCCCGTTTGAGGAAAAAAAAAAAAATGAGTATGATTCTGCCTTCCAGATGTCACCAACTAGAGTAGGGAAGATAGAATTTGTAAGAATAAAAATCTAGACTTTTAATAGGATACATTTTCGGAAATGACAAGACCCGGGAACCTTAATCTGATGAGGATAGGATTAGCCATATGTGGAAAATTACCCAACGCCCACCCAATTAATAGGTGGTTTATAAATGTATTACTGACTGGACTTTATCAGTATACTCTAAATGCCTTAAAAGGGAAGATATTAGGTATAAATGTGACAAATGTAAAATAACCTGTAATGCTCAAAAGTAATGTCTTTTGTGAGGAAATGTGAATGACAGGAGATTTTGATGCCAATAAATTATTGAAAAGGAATGTTAGAAATATCAGTATGGAAGAGGAAGTGCTGTGGCCAATAGACAGGAAAACATGCGCTTGTGTTTCTCATTAATCTGAGAAATACAAAAAAAGACCACAATGAGATACTGTTTTTCATGCGGTAAATGACAAAATTAAGAAGTCTGGCAATACCAAATTAATGGAGAGTATGTGTATCAGGGGGAATTCTTACACACTACAGATATGAGTGTAAATTGATATAACCACTTGGAAAAGGAATTTGGCACAATCTTGTAAAGGTAAAGATTTATACACCTTGTGATCTAGAAATTTCACTTCTAAATGTGTACATTTGGGAAACTGTTGCATATGTGTACTAGGAAACTATAAAAGAATATTCACAGCAGTGCTGATAATGATAGCAAAAAACTGGAAGCAACCCAAATGTGCTTCTATAGGAAAATGGATAACTACATTTTAGTATAATCACATGAACAAGCAGAGCAAATGAATGAACACACGTAATAACATGGATATAACCTGGAAACATAATGCTGACTTTTAAAAAGCCAAGTTACAGGTGGCATTTTTATAAAGCTCAAGTACAAGAACAACAAGAAAAAAAATTTGTTTAGGCAAAAAAAAACAACATTTTTTTAAATTTTAAGGTAAGATAATGATAAGCACAAAATCTAGGATGTGGGTTGGTGGGGGAGGAGGCTGGTCAGGGAGATGGGATTAGGAAGGAGAACAAAGGCAAATGTAAGTTACTGGCAAAGATCCAATTCTCGGGTAAGGTGGAGAGTTCACAGGTATGCATTAAATTATTATGCTTTATTACTTACAATATGTTACATATATTTTTGTAGTATATTTACTTATGTATATATTTAAAGATGAGGGAAAAGATCCATTCACTTATGCAGAAGAGAAATTTTCAGTAAAGAGAATTAAATTGGGTACTGTTTGTCTTAAGAACTCACTAAGAATTCCAATGCATGACCCTACATCTCAAAGGCTACTGAGAGCTGCCAGACAGACCTGCTACCCTTTCCATGTCAGTTTACTTTCTCATTGTCCTAGATCTAATCAAAGAATCAGTCTTCCTCTTGTGCCCTGAGTCCCAGCCCCTTTTGCCTCCTAGCTGCCTCCACTTCATTATTGAAAAATGGCAGCACCATCACCTGGTTGCATTCTCGTTTGAGTCATTGGTAAGACTGGTTGGATCTATCTCCAAAATATATTCCACATCTAACCATTTAACCATTCTTGCCACTTCCACCACTACAGCCTTGGTCTGAGATACCATCATCTCTCTCTTGGGCCACTTGTTAGCCTTCTAATCAGTCTCCCTCCTTATTCTACTTTTGGTCTTGCTTCCATACAGCAGTCAGAATCATTATGTCACTCCCTGTTTAATATGTTTCAATGATCTCTCATCACATTGGGAACTGGGATTGTATCTCTCATTCACCACTGTGGCCCCAGGACCAAGAACAGTACCTGGCACAAAGTTGACACTAAAACATGTTGACAGCCTGACTGAATTCAAACTCTCTTTACTGTGATTATTTTATTCACCAAGCAACCTTATGATAATTAATTTTTTTTTTTTGAGACAGAATCTCACTCTGTTTTCCCGGGCTAGAGTGCCATGGTGTCAGCCTAGCTCACAGCAACCTCAAACTCCTGGGCTCAAGTGATCCTCCTGCCTCAGCCTCCCGAGTAGCTGGGACTACAAGCATGTGCCACCATGCCCGGCTAATTTTTTCTATATATTTTTAGTTGTCCAGCTAATTTCTTTCTATTTTTAGTAGAGACAGGGTCTCACTCTTGCTCAGGCTGGTCTTGAACTCTTGACCTCAAGCGATTCTCCCACCTTGACCTCCCAGAGTGCTAGGATTATAGGCGTGAGCCACCGCACCAGGCCAATTTTGTTTCCCAAGGCAGCTTTTCTCTGACAACAGCAGAGGTCAGTAAACTAAGTAAACTAAGGCCATGGGCCTGTTTTGTACTGTGAACTATGAATGTTTTTTACACTTTTAAAGCACCATAAGTAACAAAATAGAACAAACCAACCAAAACAAAAAAAAAAAAGAAGGAAAAAGGAAAAGAAAAATATGCAATAGAGACTACATGTAGTCCTCATATATTTACTATCTGGTCCTTTACAGAAAAAAGTTTACTGACTCCAAATTATATTGACTTGTAGCATCCATTTAACTGTTCTGTTATCAGTGAATTGACATCCTGGTTCATAAATCAGTCTATTGTAAAATCCTATACCCCTGTATCTGATCACCTCATGTGACACAGGAAAGCTGAGGCTGAAATAATTAGTGGGTCTTTTTCTGCTTCCTCTTACTGTATAGTATCTGAATGAGTATTATTACAGTTTAGAGGAGGAAGCATTGACTTCCTAATGGGATGAACTGAGAAGCCTTCATAAAAAAACATGGCACTTGAACTTGACCTTGTCAGTGGAAGTCAGTGGGCAAAAATGGATGGGGTGAATGATAGTTCCCTGGCAGAAAGATTGGCATGTTGCCTTGGATAAGTCATTTAACTTTGTTGAGATTCACTTTGTGATTCTGTAGATTAAGGGAATAAATTAGATGACTCCCGAGGGTCTCTTCGAATTCTATGCCTTAATCTTGAGTATTAGACCAAGAATTCTGGATTTTTTTTTTTTTTGTATTAGAGGCAAAGGACATGGCAGAAGTATTGTTTTAGAAAAGCTAACTTAGTGTTACTATACAGGATAGATAGATTAAAGAAGAGCTTCCCACCTGGCACAGGTATGCCAAGATAGTGACCCCCTCAGTCTCTGGGGCAAGCAGAGCCTCATTATTAAGGGTAGCCTCATTTTTTCACTCTAGTATTGTACAAATATTATCACTTTCTATGGATGCCTTTATGTGAAAAGTTTGGCAAGGACTGAATTAGTGGCAAGGAGAAAAAGTTTGAAGGCTGTTTTGTGAATGCTCACTATGAAAATAACTTTCTTAGTCCATAAACCCAGTTTATAAATGTACTTCAGGGAGTCCATGAGCCGTGATAATGTATTCAAACTTTTGCATCATGTAGACAATAATACTAGTAACAATAGCAGCAATCACATGTGCTAGGTACCTCTCTAAGTACTTTATATCTTAATTCATCTAGGTATAACTCCATGAGGTACTGTGCTGGGACTAGGGTGAGGAAAGCACAGGTCTAGGGCTCCACATTTAAGGAGACACTCACTGTCAGTTTGGCACTGGCACAAACCTAAGAGTGCCTCCTTAAATGGGTCCAAAGAACCAGCTTGCCTCACCGTATTCCTGGCCCTGGTCCATTTACTGAAGGCCACAGCTCCAGTTCAGCATCTCTCTCCTCATAATTCTTTCTTCTGAGTCTACTAACTACGTATTGCCTTTGCTCCTTCAGACTTGCAAGTGGTAACTGCTCCCCACCTTTACTAGCCCGGGGGTTCTACACCATCCCTCATTCCCCTAACTACCTCATGTTCATAAATACTCCCTTTACTAAATGACTTTTAGTTTTCCAGCTGAAAGGGGTAATTTTTTTTTCCTGCTAGGATACCAAGGGGTACAGTTACTGTCTTACTTTGGGGTTTTCCTCAAAGCAGAGCCTGTAACAAGGAAGTGGGTGCAAGTAATGTATTTGGGAGGTGATCCCAGGAGGCAGAAATAAAGCCATGGAGAATGAGACAGGAGT